AATTTATACAGAAGTACTACGAGCATTTCCCGGATAGGTATTTGTTCGTTGTGCGCGACTTTGACGAAACACAAGATTATGGAGTTGGGTTGGGAAGTTCTCCCCAATCAGACACCTTCCTCCATCCTTTCCTATTTATAGCTCCCCAGTGGCATGTCTGCGGAATTACAACTCTAGAAACCGGGTTTCGATACCCCTGGTGGGCAGAGCACAGATAGCTCATTGTGTAGCTTTGTGCATAATTACAAACAAACATCGTTATGGGTTTTAATTTTTATTTTCTTAATTGCTCTTTAAAACTTTGACTTTTTGTTCGTTTTTATATGCTATTTCATTTTCATGATGCAAGGTAGGATATGTTTTGATTGCTTGTAAAACGTTTCAGATGTATTCAAAAGATTTTACGGTCTGTGTTTTCATTCAATTTGGAACAGTAACTGTCCCACTTTTTTGTTATATTTTGTTTCTTAGAATATTGATTAGATTTTTGACGTACGAGTTTCTTGTATTTATATTTGTCTTCTCAGGTGGCAGTGTTCTTTTATCATCTTACTATAATGGATGTAGCTTGTATATATGTGACCGAAATAATAAATACAATGTGGCGTCATCTATTAAATGGTACCACAAACAAAAATCCATAAAAAATTACACACTTTGGGTATTGAAGGTTCAGACAATCAGAAAAATAACTACGGTATCCGCAAGAACAATTTCTTTATCACAGAACACAATTTTAAATAACAGTACTCTCCTCACAACAAGAACACGACTTTCACTAGGACTGTACGTTTATATCTTTACTGATGTAACTTGTAAATACAGTAGTAAAAAAACGGAGTTCTTAAAAACTTATTTTTTCAATAGAGGATACCACTTTTAATATATTGTTGCGTCATCGAAATCACGTGACTGGTGTGGCACCACCTATTTTCTAGAACTATCCTGTACCTTGGCGAATGCTCTAGTATTTACTAGATATAGGGTAGTCTGGCATATAAAAGAGGGTGACAACGTGATGGTAATGTAATGTGTGTGTAGATAGTGTGTCGTTCGTTATAGTGTTTGTTTAGCGCGAATATTTTCTAGAACTATCCTGTACCTTGGCGAATGCTCTAGTATTTACTAGATATAGGGTAGTCTGGCATATAAAAGAGGGTGACAACGTGACGGTAATGTAATGTGTGTCTAGATAGTGAGTAATTGAACTGCAGTCA